TCCCGGTAACGCTGCGCATCGCCCGGGAGGGCTAACCCCGAGAGCAGCGGTGCCGCAGGGGAGAGGACGAATATTTACTGCGGGAAAAATGTCTTTGATTGCGGGTTGTGCTCGTCGGGGAGAGCTGAGGGGAGAGAGAGGAGCCGCAGGGACGTGTGTCCGCGGCCCGGAGCGCGGCCGGGGTGGGCGGGATGCTCCTCCCGCCGCCTCACAAAGCCGCTAGGAAAAGTTCCCGCGTGGCTTCCTTAATTCTGCTTTTCATTTGAAGCTGATGGTGCCAAAATGAAATTTTAGCGCACAATAAAGAGGTAAACAAGAATCTCCTGATAATTGTTTTCCTCAGAGGTAGGTCGCGAGGAGTGGTTTGTTTTATGGGAAAGATATTGGAAATCTTGAATAGAAATTTAGACACCAGTTTTTTTTAAAAAAAAAAAGTTGCAGCAAAATCTGGTTCTGGCCGTGCTGAGTGTCTTTTTCTTGCCTCTTATGTTTTCACTCCCTTACCTGTAGCAAAAAGCAATGTTGGTGTTGTGTAGGAAAAAGTGATGGGTTTTATGTTGATTTTAGGGCTTTCACGGCTACTCAGGTATTAAAAGTTCAGACCAAAGCCATTTTATTCTGTTCTGATGCTGTTGCTATTTATTGTGCTAATGAGTAAGTATTTTTTCCTCAACACAAGTTTTTACCTCAAGAGGTAGTCAGCTGCCTTTGAAGAGGTTTATTTGTCCCATGTTGTAACATGTCTCTTCAGTTTTGGGTTTTTTTTTTTTCTTCTAGCTGCTGCTTTTCTCTTACCTGTAGGCCCTTAGGGTTAACACTTTGAATACAAGAAGGTGATATTCTTTAATCAGCATAACTAATAGACTTCAGTTGTAGTGAATCTTTAGAAATAAAAGTATTTTAGTTCATAAAATCTGTGAGGGTGTTATTTGTGTCAGTGTGGTGAAGCTGAGTATGGCACTGGTATCCTTGTGTTTTTAACCTGCAAAGAGCTTGGCATTGCTCCCTGGTCACATGGTGGCAATTTTGCACTATTTTTTGTGCCATGTTTTAAACATCTTCTGGAGATTACTTTTCATTCCAGAAACTCTGTGCTTTTGATGACTTTGTTTGGTAAGTAGCCATGGGAAGGTGTTTATGAAGTGTTTGTTAAGTTACCTATGGCCTAAGCTACAAGTTCCAAAACCTCCATTTGCAGAAAACTGCTGAGACTTCCCATGGTGACAGATCTGCTGCACTGGCTTTGAAGTTCTGCAAAACTGTTGTTGCAGTAAGGGTGTTACAAGTGTTTAATTACCCACTGGAAAGCAGAGGTGACATGTAGATACTTTCTCTTGGCAAATAGAGGGAAAGGGGATTGAAGCAAGTTGCCAAATTTGCAGCATTATCTTGGCATAAGAACAGCAAAACAAAACTAAAAACCTACTTATACTAGTGGATATTTCTTTCCAGTTGTGAAATAACTGCTTTGATTTTTTTTTCTCCCTATTCCTCTGCAACTCTCTGCATAATTAGTGCATGTGCTGCTGCTCTGTCCAAAGCTTGTCTGAGCTGCAGCAACACACAGATAAGAGTGGAATTGTGTCGTTGGTAGTAAATCTGAAAAAATTGTGTCCTTCATGTTTTGTTGCTGTTAAGGAGAGTAAGCATTAAAAAGCTTCTCAAACTGTTTATGGCTGAAATGGAAAATAAAAAGTCCTCTTCTGAGCACTTGTCACTTCTAGCGTGTGCTGTCCTTATATTAAGCCTTATGTTTCATAGTATGCTACATACAAATAAGTTTCTCAGATGGGTCTTCTAAGATGCCAGGTTATTTGTTCTTTGTTTGTTTAAAGCTGTGTCATGTTGCTTCTTCATTCCAAAATTCAGCAGAAATTTTTTTGATCTCACTGTGGTGGTAATTAAAGGTAGTGATGAGAGCTGGAAAGTTCAAGATGCTTGGGGTTTTTTTTCTCTTTACTTCTAGACATTCCCTGTGTATTTTTAACCATATTGAAAACCCCACAATGTTGAATGAAAAAAAACCTCAACCCACCACACACCATTTTATAAAGGTTATTACAAAAGCTGTAGCTGCTGAGTGATACAAATGAAACATTGCATCACATGTAGTTTTCATACTACATGTGTCATTGCAGTGTAGCACTCCAGTGTCTGGATGCTTTCTATGGTAGAGATGCTAATGAGGACTTAATTGAGGTGTTTTTATCTCCATCCAGTACAAGTTATCTTGTTCACATGCAATGATATTGCAGTTTTATCATGTTCCATGTAATAATGTAGTGAACTGTGGTTTTTCAGTTTGCAAACAACGGACTATTACCAGTTGGCTGGTGAATAAAGGACCCAAGACTGCTGAGTCCAAAAGGTAAAATGCACAGCATACCTGCTCAAAAGTTGTGTTCTTGATTGGGCCTGGGGGGAGCCAAGAGTGCAGGTTACCAGTACAGGTGGCTAAATGGAGATGACCCCATTTCTGCTGCTCTTCTTACCTTGGCACATCCTCTTGAGTAACTAACTGAGACACTTTCACTACTAAACACTGACTAGTCCCCCAGCTGTCTGCTCTAAACCCAAACCTTTTGCTGATACTAAAGTTTTCTGAAGCACCTCACTGTTAGGAGAATAAATGTAGCTGCTTCTGCAAAGAAAAAGGTGGGAACCTGCAGCAAGGGAAGGCAAAGTGGGACTTGCTTCCAGTGGCAGCCAACCACTAGATCAAGTGAGCTGTAACATCAATGGCTCTGCTTTTATTTTTGTTTAATGTAGGGCACTAACAGCTACTGATTTTGGCTGATTGTTAACTTACATACAGAAGTGTTTTGGTTTGTCTCATTGGACTGTGATTGTCATTTAAACATGTATGGCTTGATTTGGTTTCAGCCAGAATTTACAGGTGTTTAAATGTGGACTCAGGTTATTTTATGAAAGATGCTACAAAAGTTTCATTACTGAATGGCATTAGGTAAAGTTTGATATTTTCTGCTAATGTCAGGGGCAATGATTGCAAGGCAGCATTAAAATTAAACTGCAAAGAGTGTAACTGGTGCAGAGAAATATCAGATATTACTTTTCTGTAATTGCAGTTACGAATGTGTTTGTTTATTTTTCATTGCTGTTTACTAATAAATAGAAATGGAAATCCATACCAGTGCTAAAGTAGCTGGGAAGGCTTGTGGTAATGATGAATACAGAAGTACACAGGGCTCAGTTACAGGCTCAGAGGTTGCAGTAAAACAAGGATGTTAAGAGGATGCTTAAGGAGGAAATGAATTATTTTAAGGTTCCCTTTAGAGTATTGCTTTTATATGCTCTCCTTCATCCCTGCTGACAGATTAAAGCCTAGTCAGTTTTAAGCAGCAGATTAGTTGTGTAGACATTTCTGTGCCTTCCTGTTGCAGTTAACATCATGATTTTAATTTAAATACTGTCTTTGTATTAAATTTGATTACTCAAGTTGGCAACCGATGTTTCAATACCTTCAAAGAGTCATTTGTTGAGATGGCAGCAGTAACAACTTTGATTTTTGTTCATCAGAGTTTGCATACATGGGAAGTTAACAGAAAACCCTCTAAAATCCTTTTGTTTTCAAATAATCTCCCCACGGATGAAGTTCCAAGCTATCATCTGTTCTTCAAGCCCCCTTTTTTCTTCTTTCTCTCCTGTTCTGTAGTGGTAAAGGTGTGAATGCTCTCTCCTTATCTCTTTTAGAAGAGGATCTGTTACCATTCATGGAGAGAATGACTGCCTTAAGGAATCTATTCGATGCTTACTTGCTGAATTTAGGATTGTGTGATAATTGCATATTTTCCAATTCAGTGTAGGTGGGAAGCTGGGCAGTCACCAGACCTGTAGAGTTTAACCTGCTGAGTTTGCACTGGTAATATACAGTGTTTAATAATACTTTCAGGAGGAGATACTGTTCACTTTTTTTAGGACTGGTCAGGGTTTTTTTCAATATTCATGTGTCATCTAAGTAATTTTCTTTATCAGTACACTGACACACAATATGTAAATGTGAAAAGACTCCAAGATCTTCTTGAAAAATGCCATCTGCTCATACAAAACTCACTTCCTTTCCCTGTGTAACCATTAGGACACATTTCTTTCCTGCACTGTCATGCACAAAGACAAATCAGGTTTTTTGTTGTTAAATCCTGATTTAATGTATCTTTTTGTTTTTATCGTCCGTTCTAAATATATTTGACACTTGTGCTTTTGTGTGGTGATTCTTTTGAAGAGTCATGGGCTGCTTACAAAATTAAGGAAGTAATAGGATGCTTTTGAGACTATGGAATGCTGTGCTCTGCTCTTCTAAAAGATGAATTTGTAGTTCCGAGGGAATGGCCATAAAAAACATTGATTTCCTTGCTTACTGTATTTAACAGATAAAAATCATGGCTTCAAATTTTTTTCATCTGGAGAAAATAACTAAATAATAGTCTCATACTGTTTAGATTTGAAAATAAGGATAATGAACTACTGGAATAGATTCCTGAGGTAAGCAACTGATTAATTATCCTTTGGATGGAAATAGATTGTTGGTGAGCTGCATTCCTCAGTGCAGTAAAACTTGTTGATCCTGGGAGTGCTCACTAAAAACCTGTACTTTCTATTGTTTGTTTATCATCATTGCTTAAAAAAAATCTGCACAGAAATTTCATTTGGAAATAAGCCACTGAATTCTCTTACTTCTCTTCCACAGCTTACAGGGCAAAAATAATAACAACACTGAAGCAAATTCCAAGATGACTTCCATTAAAAAAGAGAACTTTTGTGAGCATGATGTGACAAAGCTGGAGAGTACCTGTCAGCAAAATTATGCAAATCTTTCTGTGGAAGTTGGTGGTAAGCATGTAAATTTGCCTCAGACAGGCAGCACGTGTGACTGGGAGGCTGAGGACAGAGATCCGGTCTCGGGTACAGGTCCCACAAAGGGTCTGCAGTCTGGAGACCTCGGTAAAAACGCCAACATTGATCAGATGCACAAAACTGGCAATCAGGCTCAGAGGGCCTGTGAGGAAAGCAGTGACAGCTGGACTCAAAGGAAGTTATCTTCAGGCCAAGCTTTGAAAACGGGAAGTACAAAACTTTCTTCCAAAGACTTGGAGACAGATGGACAAGTGGCTTCGTGCAATTCACAGAAGCTGAAGAGTTGCAATTCTGTCTGTTTAATGGGTGAACAAGAGGAAGGGAATGTAGTTCCAGAAAGTCCACTTTCAGATGCTGGTTGTGACACCTGTATATCTGATCTTGGAGGTCCTGGGAAACTGAGCAAATGTCAGAGCAGTTCAGGGGACTCACCTGCTTTCGAGAAAGAAAGTGAACCAGAGTCACCAATGGATGTAGATAATTCTAAAAATAGCTGCCATGGGTCAGAGGCTGATGAAGAAACAAGTCCATTTCTTGATGAGCGAGAGGAGATTAGTATGTCAAAATCCATAAACAAATCTTTTAGAATTCAATATGGGGATGCTGAATTGGAGTCAAGAAAGTCCCATTTTTCTGGCAAAGGCTCTGAAAGCTTTGAGGAAATAGATAATTCTGTTAAAGAGGACAGTCTGCATACAAAGTCGACTGGGATCTCTCCTGCTCCATCATCAGAATGCAAAGGTGCAAAACAGGGTGTGAAGAGAGACTCCAAAATCACCTCTCACTTCATGAGGATACCTAAAGTTGAGGAGAAAAGGTAGCGTTCTATCTGCCTCTTCATCTGGCTTTTCATGCTTGAAAATCTTCTCTTTGGTGATAGCATTTTGGATTAAATAAAGCCTTTTGCAAAATGTATGTTAAGACACAAAGACAACTCGAAGATTGAAGTAACTTATTTTTAATGGGACTAATTGTGGTTTTTTAAGGATAAGTTTCTCCAGTGCAATTTTTAAAATCATTTGAGATCTGTTAAAATTGGGAATTAAAAGACACTGTAGGAAGTTGATTTCTTTAGCAAAGTAGCGATTTAAGACCATGGTATTTTTAAAGCTTGGAAGTTAATGGTGGTTCAGGAGTGCTTTATGAAGTGTATCTTTAGCTTTCATTATGTCACTCAGAATGCTTAAGGAAACTGATATTTTCTTGGGTTTTGTTAGTCTCATCTGTCAAAAGTACTGAGTAACCTGTTGAAGCGTCAGTGCAAAGGATGCTTTGATTGAAATAGACATGAGAAATTTCACTTTGGAAAGCAGTTGTAGAGATGTGTTTTTATTTTATTTTAGCTTGTTTGTTTGTTTATTTTGTTTGACTTTATTCATAATTTGGGAGAGAGAAGGACTGGTGATTCCACACTGCAGTCATGGAAATAGAAGCCCTGAGCATGACACAGGACTCTGTGTGCCAGGTGTTGTGTAAGGACAAAAGGGTAATCTCTGCTCTGAAGAGCTTAGATTTCAGTGGGAGCTGAGAAAGTGAATAAGCAGCTAAGGGGTGAGCAGAAACAAAAGGACAGTGTGTGTTGGCATAACATGCAATTATCTCGCCAGACCCGAGTCCTTAAAGTAGGGCAAGAATGTAGTTTTGCACTTCTTTACTGGGACATTGTTTTTGGATGTGAGGAGCAGCACAAACCACACTTCTGAAGGGATTGGAAGAGAGAGTGCCAGAGGGTGGCTAATGAAGGGCATGAGCTCGCATTTGAGGAATCTTAAGAGTGTGTTTGGAAAACAAAAGATAAGTGGTTCTTAGCAAATTCTTCATCCATCCATTTTTCCTAAAATATGGAAAAAGGGGTTATAAAGTTTAAAGTGATGGGTTTAGGCAGTTTTCACTAGTTTAAATGAATTGTCATTGAACAAAGCAGCAGAGGTTGAGGCTTGTGTTTGTCAGTGCTAGAGCATCGTGTGTTACAATAAATTGACGTTTGAGCAGGGAAGCACATGAAAAAGGGTTGATTTTGTGTGTGGATAGCTGGGAATTCTGTAGAGCATGAAGCCGTTGAAAGATTATTTTTTCTTTTCTTTTTGGAGCCTAAGCAAGATGATGTGAAGGTCATTAACCTCAGTGCCAGGCAAAATAGTGGTATTGCTTAAGAGAGTGATTAGAAAATCTTAAAGCTTTCCTGGTGGTTTTCATTAGACTACATCTACAGCAGGTAAGAGTGGCTCAGGTCTTAACTTGCAGAGGAGGAAGCAGTTGTGTATCAATCAGTAATGTGCCACGATGGTGCTCTGGCAGTCGGGTGAGCACAGTGGGCCAGGGCCCAGAGCCACGCTGATGTGGCTCTGCCATTTGCGAGTTCGGAGGCAGCGTGTCCCTGCAGACACTGGCATGTGCACAGATGCAGCCAACAAGTTGAACAACATCTTCATCCAAGGGTGCAGGAAGTTCTCTAAGGGGAGTTTAGAGGTCTGAACAGTTCCACAAAGTGTAGGCTTTTAACTAAAATATCTCAGATCCATGCACATACCTTTGGTCATTAAAGAGGATTGGTTCATCTGCTCTTGCATGTGTTTGAGTGTTGCAAGTGGGTTTTTTCGGTTACTTTTAAATTTCTGCTTCTGTTGCAAGTATTGTGTGCCTGACATGAGAAATACAACCTTAGTGAGAAAGGTGCATGAGGACTTGGTTTGATTTTTTTTTGTTTTTTTTTTTTTTTTTTTTTTTTTTTTTTTTGTTTTTTTTTTTTTTTGTTTTTTTTGTTTTGTTTTTTTGTTGTTTTTTTTCTTTTTGGGGGTTGGGGTTTTTTTCAGTTTGAGGAAGGAATATGTGCATTCGTGCTTGCGCTCATGTTTGTTTTCTAGGAGTTGAGAACAAGCTGTAGGCAGTATGCTGACAGATGCAGACTGGTGAGTCTGTCTCCTGTCCATGGATAAACAGATCCTGTTGGGAGGGAGCATGACTCTGCAGAGGAGTACCCTGCCTGGCTAACCCACTGCAGTTCTCTGAAGGTGTTTGTCAGCCTGTAGAGTGTTTTGGTAGACATCGTGTACTTGTGTGTGTTGGAGAGGAGGAGGTTGGTGGTGGCAGGAGTGTTCCCCAAATAAAAGCTTTGGCCTGGGGCCACAGCAAGGGCAGATAAACTGCCTGTTAGAATTGTAACCCTGGGGTGGAAGTTTGTGTATTTGCCTACCAGGTTTTTCAGTGGAAATAAAATGTTTCAATGCATTTTATTTTAACAGCAGGAAAGAGAAGTGTGAATTCAAACCTCAGAGACCGGGGAGGAAGATTCCTAAATACGTGCCACCTCCTCTTCCAGCTAACAAGAAATGGTTTGGGACCCCGATTGAGGAGATGAGGAGGATGCCTGTGTGTGGGGCTCGGCTGCCTCACCTGCGACCCTCAGCCAATCACACCGTGACCGTCCGGGTACGAGAGCTCAGTGTCTCACCTGAAACCAAACTTCTTACTGAATTCCACAATATGAAATGCCAAATGTCAGTCTCAGGTTTCCTGCTAATACTATTTCTTTGCCAATCCTTGTGAGCAGACTGATTGCTGAAAGTTGACTTTTCTCATGAGCAGAATGAGGATACTAATATCCAGAAGAAATGTAATTATGGTTTTTCTGCCTCTGTGTTGTTAGGGACAAGGATTTTTCTTTTGCATGGGGGCGTGTGCTTCCTTGTCTGAGTTGTAATCTGTGGAAATTTACATACATCTGCAAGTAAAATTTGTACTTCTGACATTTTCTTGCTATATTTTCCTCTGAGTTTGGGTTCAAGATGTACAAAAGGCTCAAGATATTTAAGATACGGGAAATGAAGAAGAGGTTCTAGCAATTTTAGCACTGCATTGTAGATAAAATCCAATGTTTGCCTTTAATCCTTTGCAATAGTATGCAGTCCAATTATTGCTGAAATAAAATGTGACCAGTAACCTGTAGAGTCATGGATAAATCCCAAAGAAAAGAAAAGCACAATGAGTTTGAACACAGATTCTGAGAGAATCAGTGCTGCCAGGAGGCCATATAGCAAACTAAGTCTTTAGGAAAATCATATTATTTATTTTTGCATTTCTGTTATTCTGGGGAGTGAACTTGAAATATTGTTCTATCTATAATGATTTCTCATCCTTTTCAGAGTTAGGTTAAAAATATTATTTCTGCACAGTATTATCGCTGTATTTGAAGCTGCATTTTGAAAATGTTTGGATAAAGCTATGTAGATACTTAAATTCATAAATTAGGAAATCTTCAGCTGGTAATTGGATGTATAGTAATTTAATATCTTACCTTTATCTGAGTGTGTTTCAAGAGGCCAAATGATAAGGTGGCCTTCTTTTCAACAAGTACAATGTAAGAGTAATTTTCAAACTGGATATCCATCATTTGGTCAGTTTGTAGCTTTCCCGTTTCCAAAAAGGGTAACTGTAGATGAGAGCTTTCTTAAACTGGGTTTTTGCTTACTTTTTATTTCTTCTCTTTAAAAACTTGAAAGCAGAGTCTGAGTTTTTTCCCTCTCTCCTTCTGTGTTGCAGGTAGATCTTCTGAGGGAAGGAGAGGTGCCGAAACCTTTTCCAACTCACTACAAAGACTTGTGGGACAACAAGCATGTTAAAATGCCCTGCTCAGAACAAAATTTATACCCTGTAGAGGATGAGGTAAGGTTAAGTATTTACAGTTATATAGTCAGATAAGTTTGTTTACACAAAGAGTTTTTAGTTTACTGCGTTTGCTCAGTTGTCAAACTGTGTGGAATTAGAAAGTCAAGTCTGAAAAGCTGGATTCTGGGTCATGGTGCTTCAGACAGAGCAGGAATTATTTTGCCTAGCCAATGATTTGATGATGCATGTATTTCTATACCTTGTATGCTTAAAATCCTTTCAAATTATGTATTTATATACTTAGGTCTTTATATATTTTGTGTGTGTGTTTGAAGCAATTTGCAATGCCAGCAGATGTGAATGAATTTGTAAGCATGGTTTGATTAGAATACTCTGTTACATATTGCTGATAGTGAGAGATGTCTGCTGTTCTGCTGAAACAGTGCCAGAGATTAGAGTTGGCCCTGCAAGGTTGGTTGATTTGCTGTTTCTTGTCACTGCTTGAGACTTAAGCATAACCAGTGAAGTACTTCAGACTGGTGAATAAAACCAAAAAGTGTGTCCTGTAGTGAAAACTGTACACTGATGATTGATGCTGAACCCTGGAACAGAGAATTCTTGAATGAATTATGATGCTTTGAAATAATGAAATATGAAATTATGAATCTATGAAATACACTCAGTCTTTTCATTTATCAATTTACAGATTGATCTTATAATTGCAATATAAATTGATGTTTCAGGGATTACATGTTGCTAAGATCTTTGTTGCCAGATGAGCAAGATGAATTTGCCTTGCCCTTGAGGTAGTCTCATAAGAAATGTCATTATTGCTTGCAGTGGACAATAAGACTTTCAGTTGAAGAAAAGTATCACAGGATACCTTAAACTTGGCTTGGCACAAGAGTCAGCCACAGCAATATGCTTTATATTCTGAGCCCTTGATGTCCTTAGTGTTAAGTTTCTATAAAGTTAGTTCAGTTTGTATTTTTGAGTTGCAGATTTCATAAACTGTGGTTATGTTTTGTCCTCAAAATTCACTTTCTTTGCAAGGAATATACTGAGCATTATTTGTCTTCCTTGAGCTGGCATGAGGAAGAGCTCTGCATTTGTGAAAGAGCTCTGGGAATTTTGGGAATGCTTCAATTAAAAGTGAATTCCTGTGGAAGTAAAGTGCAGTGTTCTAGAAGTTGCAGAAGTACTTTACAGACACTCAAAATATGTGGTTTATTTCTAAAGAATTTCTCCAATATAGCAAACTTTATTGTAAAAAAATGTGTCTGGGAAGACAGTTATTAGTAAGTGTATCTTTCTGTTTTGAGTAACTTAATTTTTGTTTTGGGCTTTTGCTTTAAAGAATGGAGACAGAACTGCTGGAAGTCGATGGGAACTAATCCAAACTGCCTTACTTAACAAATTTACCTGCTCACATGATTTGAAGGTAAACTTGTCAATTTGAGATCAAGTCTGTATTCATATAAGTACATTCAAGTTTTCTGTATACTGTTAGTTATTCTGGCTCAATCCTATTTGTTTAATCAATTAGGAAAATAAGTTCTTAAAAAATCCTTTTCAAGGGATTCCCTAACAAATTAAAGTTATTAAGGAGCCATAAGTGTTGTCACTGAATTTATTAGGTGTTATTAAAATGAATTGCCATTTTTAAGTCTGTATTTGCCCAGCAGTATCTACTTGTTTGTGATAAATGTAGCGTGAGAGCTTTCTGTAGCCAGATGGTAAGGGATGCACAGGTGAGAGAGTTTGAAATAGTAACTGTTCGCATCAGTTCACCCCACTAAAATCACAGCAATTCAAGCTGCTGACAAAAATCTGTAGATTTTGGAAGCTAATGCTCTGTTGATAGCTCTTACAGTTATGTGGACATGAACTCTTGCAGTTATGTTACATGAATTATGGTTTGGAGCAGCTTAGAATTGCTATTACGGTTTTTTGTGAAGAGTAAAGTAATTTAGGTTATACCTGAAAGGCAGGGAAGGAGGAGAAGGCCAAAGCTACAGATAAACAGTAATTGAATAAATTGTGCTTCCCCAGCAACTGATGAGACTTCCCTTGATAGTACTATTTTATTGGGCATTTTTTTCTTGCGATTTTTTAAAGGTGGTGTTATTGTAAAGAGACTATTTAATTTTGTTGTGGTTCTGATTCTTTAAGTGCCTAAATTGGTACAGCTTCTGCTATATTCCTGAGAAACACCTTTTATTGGTATTTTTAAGAAGAGCAAGCATGGAGTAGGGAACATTTATGTTGTGTGTTGGCAGATCTGAGCATGCCTTGTCCTGTTTTGTGCTGGGAGGAAGAACCTGTAGACTAAAGTTTCCTCATGCTAAACCTAGGAGAGTTCAGTATCCTGGAATTGCACCGTGTTGATAGTTCGGTGGATTTTGGTGGGCGCTGAGTCAGGTTTTAGCCACTAGATGGCGCTGTTCCTTCAACAAGAATATTTCCTAAAATTTTCTTCCATTAATAAGTTATCTCTAAGCTCCGTTTTGTTGTGCGCTTTCCCTAGGAGGCCATACTGAGGTACAACATTGCTTATTCCAAGAAATGGGACTTCACAGCTCTTACTGACTTCTGTGAGAAGGTAAACTAAGTTGATTTAAAATAGGAAGAAAAATGAAATATGACTGACTACTTTGCCTGTATGTCTCAATTGTATTAATACTTCCAGTGTATTTTTTGCGTTTGGTTTAAAAAGTGTAGGTCTTTTTTCTTTCCTTTTTAAAACAACTTCAATGCTATGTTGCAGTGGTGTTTGTATACACTGTGCTTTGCTGGTCTAGCAGTAGCATTTTGCAATTTGCTGAGATGATGAGTTCAAACTTTTGATCCTCTGAAAGATTGGGATGGTTTTTATGGCTTCATGTTACCTTCATGGAGAGGTTTGAAAAGAGAAATGAATAGTAGCTCTCAAAGACAAGTTAGACTATTGTTAATGTACATCCTGACTGGCAGTCAGAAACTATGCTAATTAAGGCATTATGGGAGATTAAATAAGAGGTAATAGAAACTGTTGTAATTTTATTCCACCAGTTCCAAAGCCCTTCTAAAACACATGTGCTTGTTTCCTTGGGAGAGGTTTGCTAAGCTCTGTTAAGGTTCAGTGGAAACTAAATTTGATTTGAAGTTGATTGTTAATTGTGTATGTAAATTGATGTGATCAGAGGAGCTGTTCTCTCTGTTGTGTATTTTCATTGCACATAGGGACTACTGTTTTACAGGATGAGTTTTCTTTTGCATACAGCACAGTGTTATTACTGACAAAAGGTACTAGTAAAAATGATTGTGGTATCATATTTTTTAACCACCAGAGCTACTGTGCTCACCCATCTTGCTGATTTGACATTTGCCCTCTGATCCTGTTGACTCTTGTACTAACCAAAATGCCTGTTAAACTCTTCACTCTTGTGTTATTAACGTATACATACCTAAATCAGAATATTTTAACGTGCACATGCTGTTTAGTTAAAAATCTGCCTCAGAAATGCACCAGATTTGCAGTGTATTGCTACAAGCTCAGCTAAACTTGTCCTGACGTGTTCCTATCGTGCATTTGGGATTTCAGAAGCTATGGGTGATTAGATTCAGAGATCATCAGCCAGAGAGCGTAAGTAATATCAGCTGTCTCCAGAGAAGAGAGGAACAATAGGGAAATAAACTATTTATCAGGCATCAATCTTTCACTGAGGATGGAAGGGAAATTTCTGTATCCTGAGAATGATGTTTATTTGTGAGGTTTCCAGATAAGGGAGAAGAGCTATTTCATACACAGATTTCAGACCAAGCTGAAGAGTCTGTAGCGGTGTATTGAGCAAGGAACAGTGAAGTGCTTGTAAGGCAGTGGCCTCTTGGAGCAAAATTTTACCTTGGCTTTGTGGAATGCATTGAGTTTAGTGAATGGGAGATATGGAGGGGGGGTACGTTTTGTAGAGAGATGTTTATATCTCTTCTATTATAAAGGGATGTGTGAACTCTTCAAGTTTTGTAAATTAACAAGGCATCTGGTTTCAAAACCTGCTTGCAGTCTGCTTAAGTGAGCAGCTCTTGAGCAAAAGTTGGCATCCTCTGTGGAAATGACCTAGATGTGCTTAGTTGTACTGAATTGTAGTGCTTTTGAATTTACTGTAATTTAATCTGGGAATTAGTGATTAAGGGTTTACCATTGGCTTGTGTATGTTGTTTGTCTTACAGTTTTGAGAGAACAGGGGAACTGTTTCAGGTGATGTTTGCCCAGTGAAGGTTGAGAGGATTGGTTAAAAGGAAAGTTAGCTGGAGTAACCAGACTGAAGTGAGTGGCAGCAGCACAACAGAAAGAAAAATAGTCATGAGTTCATATTAAAAGAAAATTATTATAACAGTATATGGTTGTCAAATATCTTTTTGTATACTTGGCACTATTGACTTTCAGTGCATGCTTAGCCAGGAATTCTGTGGTCTGCTTTAGAAAGGAGCTGTGTCCACAAATCTGGTGGTGTCCATTTTAAGGATTTGAGGCCACTGTATTCAGATATAACTTCCAACAGGCCTGTGTTTGGTAAATTGTAAAAAGCCATTTATTTTCTCTTCTGATTATGGGCTCAGCTTACCTCATCTATTAGTCTGCTGAATGCTCTCATATCAGTCTTACATGGGGTAGTTTCCTTCCTCGTTATACAATCAAAATTACATTATTTTTAAATCCTACTTTGAAAGATTGAGATCAATTTTCTTATAATAACAATAATTATGAGTTTTTTAGGCTAAGTTTCTTTTCCTTTAAGATTGAAACACTTTCAGCTTTCTTAACTAATAGAAAATAAACATAATGTGAGCCAGGACATTTTTCCAAAACAACATACCCTGGCACACGTAGCTCTACAGTTTGTTCAAAGTGCTCTCAGAAGAGGGAGCCCTCACACTATTTTCAAAAAATTCTTTTGAATGTCAGTTAATGTGTGGAAGAAAAATTCCTCTTTGGAAGCTTGGAAATTTTTTTTTTTATTTTAAAAAGTTCCTAGAACTTGAACATAGAACTTTTTGTAGAACAATGTATGTAAAGGTTTTGGTGGCTTATTTGCTTCAGACATGTGACACTTTTGTTGTCCTCTACAGAATTTCCACACTGCTGTATTAATTTGTTTTGCCATCTGACTGTTAATACTGGCAAAAAGGCTTAGCATTTATTCAAGTTTTTAATTAGTGGATGAAAGTTATTGGTGCTAACATTTTTCTTATGTGCAAAATTGTTGTCACTTGGAAGTCATACTTATTTCTGATTCTTCAGAACTTACCTAGAAGCCAGACAGGAAAGAGTAAGCAACAAGCAGAAAAGGGACCGTGAGTAAAGCAGTATGGATGGAGCTGTGTTGGGCCCCACAATGAGCTTTATTTGTGTGAATGATGATAGGCTGGGTATTAATTACATGCTTTTGCTCAGTAGTGCTATGCACTGTAATAGCTTTAATTTTTTCTCGTGTAGATTTGCCATTCCACTTCCAGGCAAGGCCAAATTATTTTGCTTTTTCCCAAGGGCATGAAATAAAAAGTCTAGTTAGGTGATTCAAAGCTTGTATCTTAGACTAATCTGCAACAACAGCAGCTTTATCTAAAGGGCACAGTAGGGCTCTATCATTTGAGACACTCACATGGTCTGCTGCTTTGGATTGGACCTGCTTGTTCTACACATGCTTTGTTTTTGTTATATTGCTTTAAATAGGGTTTAAGCATAATTCTTGTTAATGAACTCTTCCTCTTATTGCTTGCATCAGTTTTGCCCTTTCAGGAACAGAGGAGTGTTTAAATCTGAAAATGACATGACACTGTATAAGCAGAGTGTAACTTTCTTTTAAAGGTGATCCTTCCTTTAAACTCAGTTTTAGTTGCAAAGTATGCAAGAACTGAACTCAGTACGATTTATCTTGTGAAGCTTCAGCAATCTTCATGATATAGAAGCTCTGTCATCCTTAAAAGCTGAGTTTTTTGAGGTGACCCAGGCAGTGGGTCACCCAGTCTCACTACATGTTTTTGTCTTTTACAGTGGATCTGTATCAAACAGCTTCTATTTGCTCCCACCTAGAACTTGTGAGATTTAGCAGTAATAATTAATAACATCTACTGAGAAAATAGGTAAGGTGGGCAGTTAGTTACTAAAAGGAACTCTGCAGTCAGTGAAACAAAAATGGGCTCTTTTATTGCTCATGAGGTTTAATTTCAGTCTGTGAACTCTTTTGAAACCTAGAGAAGAGCTATAGCATTTTGCATGCTTTTAGTATCAAAACCAAGGAAATAATGCTTATATGCATTTCAGTCCTTATTTGCAGGTTCATGAAGTGGGACTTTCCTGATATGTTTCAGTAAAAGGAGAGAATCGGGTCTACTCGCTGATTTTTAGCTACTGTTGCTGCTTTTTTGTATATATAAAGCCAAGGGACTCGTGTTGTGTATGCAGGACTCTTAGCATTTAGGATTCCCCAAATATCCTTTTTAAAAGTTACTTGTGAAATAATGTCTGTATGCTGTTCAGTGCTGAAAAGGATTAAATCCAGAACTCAGGCTTGGCATTAAAAGACAAACCGTAATCTTTGGTGATTATTTGTGTGAGAGTTATTTGTGTGAGCAGGTGAGAGTTTCAACACCAGATAAAAGTAATTACTAAGATACTGAAGAGGAGGCTGTGGAACTGCTTATCAGGGGATGGAGAGACTGCTATGGTCTTCTGTCAGGTTTTGAAGCTATTTGGAAAAATTGCTGTTAGAAAAATCCCGTTGACACCCATACAGGTACTGTGATGGACTCTGGAAATTTCTGAAACTGGTTACTGCAAGTGAAGAGCATTGCGAGGAAGTGCTGCTGATTACTTGGGTTTCTTGCTGTTAGACTTTTCTAGGCATCTTTTGTTGATGGGTTTTCATGAGCTTTTGTCCATTTTTACATTCTTAAGACTTTGCTGGATTGATGTTGAGAGGCAGAAGTGGCCTTGTCATGTAGGGCCTGTTGTGGCATCTGAGATGTTGCTGACACACAGGCATGGGATATATACACTATCCTCTTCTAGGAGGGAAAAATAATGAAGGTAATGGGTGTTTTTAATGAACATCACTTGAAGGCACTTACGTCTGTTAACCTTTGTTTTTTCAGGCTCTCTGTAGAACTCTAAACCCTTGGTGCCTATTTGACTCAAGTAGGAATACTTAGGGGGGATATGCTATCAATATCTTTACAAAGACCCTCTCCACTGTATAATATGCAGTTGCCAACTGTTAGATTTGGCTTTTAGTATAGGAAAAAGCATGTGTATGTCTACAGTCCCTGTGTATGGATGCCTTGTGGTCTTTTTGTCATGGGAAAGCTGTTTGAATCAAAATCAATCAATTTAATGGCCAGGAATTGCATGTTTGCTGTTGATTCTCATATTCAGGAAATGCTTTTATATTATGAAAGAAGCTGTATAACTTTTACATTTGGATTTTTCTATGAAATTGAAAGAAACATGATAATGCTGTTTAAAAAAACCCAGTCTCTTCCCTGTCTATACTTAATTGCAGAGAAGAACCTTCAGCATGAAGGAAGAATGTACCAGACCACTTTTTGCAGTCAAGGATGAGT